TGCTTTCACGCCGATGACTGGTAGTTGTAATTGATCAAAGTTCTTAATGAAGAACTGTTTGATTTACGCAGATAAGTGAAATAACCTACAATGTTCCTAAAGAAAGATGCTTTTCGTCTTGTCAGAAGCATGGGACTAAGAAAAAAATTCTGAGTTCCCATGAGGAATCGAACTTCAGACCTTCGGATTCCGCTTCGGATTTCGCCAAAGGTCTGAGGTCCGATACCTCATGGGAACTCAGAATGTTTTCTTTGTCCCACGCACGTGACAAGACGAAAAGCATCTTTCTTTATTTCTTTACCAAGCTCAAAACTTACTATCTCTCTTATTTCTATTTACTATGCTTCTGTTTAGTGATTTGATCTGATTTGCTGAATTTAACGTCATTGGAATTTTGTGTACCTTTGATTTCGTTTTGGAACGGAGTTTCTGCAAAAACCACCGGTAAGACTATAATAATTATAACAACTTTATTTAAGTGTCAACGTGATTTAACATTGCATGCTGCTAATTGGGGACACTTAAGGTTCTTCCTGAAGCAAATTTCTTTGCAACCTTCTTCTTTTGTCTAATTGCCGCCTTCCACTCCTTTGTCATGTAAGGTACATCTCTGACTCTTACTTTCTTTTTCTACACTAGGATTTGTTCGTTGACAAAATAAGAACTTATCTCTGCAAAATAGCGTTTTTTATCATGAATGAATGAATGAATGTAAACTTTATCAACGTGTCAATGTTTTTAGCTGTAGATTAGCTAACTGGGGACGCCTTAATGTTGGAAATACTAGTTAACAGCATAAAAATAGATACTACGAAATAATATAAAATGATTCTGTTCACGATTTACATATTATCTATTGTCTATTGTCTATTGTCTATTGTCTATTGTCTATTGTCACGATTTACATATTATCTATTGTCTATTGTTGTCAATGAGATCTGGAAGGTTAATTTTTCTTATTGTGGTCTTAAATATCGCGAGGGTTGGTGACGTCCTTAATTCCTTGCTAAGTTTTGACCAGATATGTTAGGACCCTGGTATCTATTTCTATGTTTACCGTACCTTAACTTGTAGTGTCAAAAGGAGGTATTTCAGAGTCCCAGTTTCTGAGACAGTATTGCGAGTTCTTAGTTTTGAATATTCGTGATAGGCGGCTTGGAACAAGATTGTTTTTACCTCATACACTAGAGCGGCAATATCTTGTAGACTTCTGTAGTACAGAGTCAGTAGCCTAGCACGAGCCAGGAGTACTTCATACGTTTCCGACGTCTTTAATTTATATATTACCCGTAGTGCGCGCCCCTGTACCCGCTCAATCTTCCTACTCTCGAATGACTTACAGAAATTCCACACAAGGAGGCAGTAAGCTAGATGTGGTAATATGGCACTCTTGTACAATGTTAACTTGGCGTTACATGGAATTAGATTGTGCAGACGGACCATTACTTTTACGTTTCGGCTAGCTCTAGTGCGTAGGTTGCTGACATGATCTGCAAAGTTGAGATTTTCGTCGATGTAGAAGCCTAACAATTTTACTTGTTCCGTTTTCATGATTTCCTGGTTGTCAATGTTCAGAGCTCTGTCAGTATTTGCGGCATCGATATTTCACGGATTGATGGATAAGGCTTGGAATTTCTCTGGGTTTGCTGGGAGAAAATTATTCTTGCCATCCCTAACTCATCAGATCTGAATCAAGAGCCTCGTGGGTTTTTCCAGTTCAATACAGTTTGTTAGAAGTAAAAACTCTAACACTCTTTGTCTTGTTGCCTCTTTCTTTTCTCTCTCTTACTACAAAAGTTATTACAACGGGGACTAGCTCTGATCTCTCGAGGAAAGTGTGGGTCACCGCTTATAAAGGTGACACTTACTGAGCTGTCAGTCTCTAACTTTCGTCATTTAGACAGGTGACCTCCTCCGTAGTGATACAACTCTAAAGTCCCACCGTGTTTTCATCGTTAAGAGAGTGTAAACTAGAGTAATTCCCGCCCACTGCTCAAGGCTCAAATTACTACCTTGTGGAGATAACGAAGGACAATTCAGCACTAAAATATCAGAAGAAACTGTTCTTCATTGAATTGGTGTTCTATGGTTTTTTATTTTTTTCTAGATCAGCATCCCTACAGGCAAGTTTTCCGCCCTTTGTTCTTTGCTCATAACTCATTTTGATTTCACAATATTGTTATTGGTGTTCTTACAGCTCTGAATTTTTCAATCTCAGTACGTCAGAAACTGGTGTATACCTCAATCACACCAAAGCTTAAACATGTTTCAAAGCTGTTTTGTCAAACACTGTTTAAATTTATTGTCAGTATAGAGGCTGCTTGAAACGATGTTTGTCGACTTCAAATTTAGCACATTGAAAGAAACGTTAGTGATTATTTGAATACTATGGGAGATTCAGTTTTAGTTTTCCTTCACTGATTTTCATTCGGTTAAACCCTAGTTGACTAAACATTTTTTGCTGGTGTGAATGGGGTATTAGTTTGTAGTTTGAGAGCATGAGAGCATTTCCAACCATTATCCACTTGTGGGTGTATAAGGTTAGTTTTCCTTGATATCCTTCTTCGAATCAAAATAATTTGAGGGGAAAGGTAAGAACAATACTTCACGCGCTCAGATAAAGGGAGAAATTAATTCTGGTAAAGTGAATAGAAACAGACAGAGTTCCCCAGTGAAGAAAGCTTATGGGGACTGATATCACGAAAGTTGGAACAAAAGAGCCGAGAGTTGATTAGCAAAATGGAGGTAAAAAACCATTTCGCAGTTATGCTAAATGAAGACCTTCTTAACTTGTTCGGTTTTGGTTAAAAAAAATGCTTAAGTCGAGGGATCAATACAGTGCATTTTAGCACTTTGGGCCATAATGGTCGACAACGGGTAAATCATTTCATCTATTATATACTGTACCCATCGACATTGATAAGTAACTTTATTCTATAACTGTCAGCGATACGAAGCAGATTATTTGAGAAAACGAGTATGAATATAATGAAGGTTTTAAATACAGTTTCACTTCACTTATCCAAAATAATCTAATTCATTTTGCTTTTGCTGTAACTTTTTTTTCTATTGAAAGTAAAAGGAAAATCGTACCTTCTTTTCCAAGAACAGCGCACGTCATAGTCACCACGAGACAGATTATTTTTAAATTCATAATGTAACAAAGGCTGTGTAACGTCTTTGTTTAAGATTTGCAATTGAAGACTTCTCAATGAAATTCAAAGACAATCTATCACATGGTTAAACCTGCTTCATTACGTTTTATTGCAATCATCCCACCCAAGCCGGCCACCTGTGAGACTTGAAACTTCAGATAATGATAGAGGTTTGACAGTCTTGTCATTTGAATCAAAAGATAAGCGCAACACGTTGGTAACCGTAAATTCCTTGCATTTATCCGCGTTGAGCTGCATATTCTGCTCATGAGACCAGTGCTGGACGGCGTCAACGGCGTTCTGGATGTTACCTCGGCCTTTCTTAGGCACGATTTCGGCTACGGTGGTATCGTCCACATACTTCCACACATGTACGTCACTATCTCTCAGGTCATTTATCATTAAGATGAAAAGCCAGGAGCCCAGTTTTGTGCCTTTTGGCACACCAGCAGGGACAGACCCTCATTTTGAGTAGATACGCGCTGATACCTTTGCGTCAAGAAATCTACCACCCACAGGGCCATGCCTTGGGGGATAGATAGGTTAAAGATCTTGCGCACAAGAAGGTTGTGATCAAATAAGATCAAAGGCCTTACTGTAATCGAAAAGGACCACTCTCACAGCAGCGCTAGATCCATCCGTAACTTGGGTCCAGCTATGTAGCATGGAAGGAAGTGCGTGTGGATGACAAGAGATAGAGGGGACCGAAGGGCGACAAGGTTTGTACAGAGCTCGCGTCGCAAAAAATGTAGAAGATTGGTCAAGACCAGATCCAAGATCCGATCACCACGAGTTTGTTTGTTGCTCTGGGTAATAAATGGTGCCAGCAATCAAACGCGAGATGCCACGCGGAAGCAAAGTAAGTTAACATGTGGTGCGTGAACACGCTCTCATTATTAGTGTATCAGCACGAACGTTTATGCGCTTGCGATAAAGTGTGAGGCCTTCATTGAGTGAAAGGAGCAGTCGAGTGGTCTGCAAGGGTTTTATTACTAATTATAGTGCCAGGTTCCCGGCAAACCTCTCCCCAACTACTCTCAAATCTTCCCGCTGGCGGAGAAACGCGCGGCCCGCAGCGCTAATAATAAAGGGCTACTACCATGCAAAATAGCATGTGGCCGATTGGATATCTGCTAACTTTAATTAATAATTAAATGGCGAACAAAAAGCTAAGAACATAAATTGCAAAGTAATTGATTCAAACCCTCAAGAGAGGAAGAGAGATAATTTCCGATTTTGATTCTTTTTGGCAAGTGGGGAGATCTTTTTTAAAACTATATCAACAAATTTAACGAGCGGCAGAATTAGGCGCTCACTCTCCACTCATCATAAATTTCTAAAATGACAGATCAAAGAAGACAGATAGGTGGTAAACAAAACACAAAGTAAAACAAGTACAATGCACTGAAAAAGGAAGTCAAAATGTTTTTTGTGTGCTTTTTTAAGTCAAATCAAGCTCTCGTGAATCTGATTTTTTCATCGTTTACTTTCTGGCAAAGACATAACCAATCAACACAAAATTACGAGCTAACCTCTTATCCTTCCTTGTCCGTTTTCCCTCACTCATTCGGCTCTTTGATATTACCAGAGAAGTGGATATAGATACAAGAAATCTATTTATGTATACACTCTGTCTTTTAACGTTTGGTTGAGCTATAAATTAAAACCATAGAATTGTAGCTACCAATTTGGATCTTGCAAAAATAAGTTAATAAAAGTTGGTTTGAATAAAGAAATACTACGTATGGTATGTTATTATTAATCGAATGGGTCCCTACAGCACATGCTTTGATTCACGCCTTATGTGTTAATCACCAAACGACAAGTCGGCACGTTTTTTTTAGAATGTCACTGCTCAAGCGCCGTTTGCTAGTTTTGCTGTTTCTTCTTGGTCTTTTCTGCTTCTTAAATTTAATTTATAGTTATTACGAGGATAAAGTTATCATCAATTTCTTTCGTCCAGTACTGAGTGTAAAAAATCAAGATACCGCCTTTGGAAAGGATGATTTACACCTAAGCCAGCACCTTTCGCGCGTTCGAAGAGAGTTTAAGATGACACTTGATCAGTACGAAACATCAGGAGGAGAGTTTGGCAATAGTATTAACGCTTTCGGCGTAAACACATCGTTTTACCATTCGGAGTTGTATGGAGAGATGTTCAAGCTTTATGGGAAGAAAACTAACACTGCTTGCCGAAATGCGCTATTCCTGCTCATTCAGGTCCATTCCAGTCCGGAAAATTTTATGAGCAGAAAGGCAATCAGGTTGTCGTGGGGAAATATGAAGAATTTTATCGGCAAAGGGCAACAAAGTATCAGCTCATTGAGGTAGGTATATAAAGTACCAATAAACGTATCAGTTTCAGCTGCTCAGACTGATATAGAAAAGTAAAGTTCACATTTTAATTATTGGGTAAATTTCGAGTTACGGTCCCCTTAAGAGAAATCGGACAACGAAAGAAACACATTTCGCTCCCATAAAATGGGCTCGAATCGTCATCCTTGAATTTATTTTCATGTTCGCCGTCAAGATTTGTGTTGGCACCTCAAGACAGCATCTCTTGGTAGATCATGTGATATTCGTTACTCTCATTATCTTTATTTCTTGATCGTGTGTTGATAAGTCCTAAGTTGAAATTCCACATTGCTCCCGCAGGAAGTGAAAAGTATAGTGAGCACGTATTCTAAATAACAAATTTATTTATGTTTAGGAAGTCTACACGCATGTGCAGTCAGTTTGATTGTAGTATCTCTTCAAACACGTACCCACGGTGCCTCTGCCCCAAACAAATGTAAAACCTGCAATTTTCAATCAGAAGATCTCCTACACGGTATCCCAATTCGATTTTAGATAAAAGTTTAATTTTCCGCTGAGGGTGCATTAGATCATTCAGGACAGTATCCAGTCCGATATTGGGAAAAAGTGAATTAAAGATTTCGAGACAGCAACGCCCAGGAAAACGTCACTTTGAATTTTTATTTCTTTTTGACATTGGCTCCATGTAGCTTTCATGTCTATTTATAACATTTGAATGCAGCGTTGTGTTCATCGTAAAAAAGTGACTAAATTATCGTCGAGATTTCTGGTCCAAGATTATTTTGGAGAAAAAACCTGGAATAACCTTGGAATTAAAATTTAATCCTCACAAAGACATCAAACATGACAAACACGTGTTGAAAATCCCTTAACAGATAAAACACTTCACAACACAAGCGGTGTGATTAGCTAATTCTCTACTTATCAGCCCTCGTAACGCCTTGGTTATGTAAAAAACTGAAAAAACTTTGTTTCCTATCCACTCCGCTGTTCATGTATCATATCAGTTTAATTTTGAACCCTGACAGAGTCCACTGGTTCCGAGCATTTTCTTTTTTCATACCCAGACTGAATTCCGTAGTCCGTAGTCCATGGTCCAAATTTATTTTTCCGTAAATACGCACTTCGTCGTCCATTCTTTACATCAACTACATACGCATTTAAATTTCAAATAACAAATTCATCCATAGAATCCCTGCGGATAACGTTGGCCTAATTCAACTGAATAAAACTGTCACCCAGACTACGTTTACAATGTTGATGAATTTTTCAGCTTTACTGAAGATGAATATGAAGTATTCTTGACCCCGTAGACAAACTAGAGAAACCAGCTGGAATCAAACAAAGAGTTCATTTTGATCTTCAACTGTATAAGAAACTTATTATACTGAAGAGATTTCCCGACAGTTTGCGATTTTTGGAAAATATTTATAACCACACTATTACTAGTTACAAGATGCTAAATATCAAGCGCCTGAAGCCATTTGTTCTGGTGATTTCCATGTTGTGTTTTTGCGTTATGGGTGTATTGACTATTTTCTTCTCGAGATACGAAAACAAAGTTCGTGTTTCACGTAATCTTCCGCAAGCAACCAAGCAGAGCGCTGTTAGCTTCGATTTGAAGACAAGCCTTGATCATCTTCGAAGTAGTTTTGAAATGTCACAAGATCAGTACAATTATTCAACGAGGAACTTTAGCGAGAAGTTTCGAGAAGCCCGCCTTCGGAGTGAATTATTTTACCGCAAACTGGATTCGCGTAGTAAGCGGCATTTTGTCTGCAATAATGGGCTTTTTCTGCTGATTCAAGTCCATTCCAGTCCAGCAAATTTTAAGAGTCGACAAGGTATTAGGTTGACATGGGGCAGCATGGAACGCTTTATTGGCCATGATCATCAGGATGTTAACCGTAACTATACTTTGAGGTAAGTATCACTCATTTGACTAACAAAAGGCTCGGTAAGAAAAAAAAAAAGTATTGGACTGTTAAAACACTTTACAAGGAAATCTAGCTGAAAGAAAACATGGTCAATACTTATAATTTACCGGCGGGATTTGGTGAAAAATTTTAACTCTCAATTTTACGAGAAATTCCTTTTAAATTAAGATCTGAGTTGAAACAAAGGAACAAAATAAGGTTAAGCTGAGCCGTATTGAATAGGATTATGAGTTACGTACGTTAAAACTGGAAAAATTCCCCGCAAAAATTAGTCAAAATGAGAATGCTCTCTTTTTAACCTCTAACTTTATCATTCGGATTTTAGCCCTAAATACTCGAATCTTGCACTTAGTTGAATTAAAATCAATTTCCCTAGGATTTTCTCCACCAATACAAGTATTAATTTATTTTCAATACTTGCAACATTCGATAACTCCAAATCATGCAAGCTAGAAATTACTTTTCTCCCATTAGGGTCAATTCTTTGTAATGGTTCCTTCGTATAACCCTTTTGTTGAGGTGCGATCCCCTGTTTCGTTTTGTCAGAAAAATAAACTTAGATGAAAGCGGGTAAATTGAAAGACAAAAAACTTCACTATATTTGTGTTTCAATTATTCAAGTGTCTTCTCAGAAGGTGCAAACTTTACTCAGCTGTAATTCTTTGAATAACCTAATTTTGCTAACCAATGATATTCAGTTCCACAAATTAACATAACATCGAACAAATTCATCCCTGGCTGCCTGAGAGTCACAAAATTTCTATTTGAGTTATGGACTCCTTCTCATAATGAACTTCGCTTTTGACTACGAACCGGGTGCAAGAGTAACATTTTATATTCTCTTGCAAGGTTTCAATAGGGTTAACCGTCCTACGTCAAATGAATGCATACATTGTAATTAACTACTCGAGGCTGAGCGCTTATTATATCTTTTCCTAACTACAGGGTTGGCACCTATATTCGAGGTTCGGCGCTTAATCGAATAATTCCGGTAGTTAAGATACTCAAATCATTCAAAAATATAAACTTTTTTCCCATTTTTTCCGTGTAAGCAAAAGATAAACGTGAAACGTTAAATCAATCACTTGAGTACTGTGGCGGCTTTGCATTACTCGTGCTTTAGGCGTGCATTAGTAAATACGGCTAAGAATTTGCACGTTGATCAAAATTTGTTTTGGTTCGCTGCGAAATTGCAGGTTGGTCGAAACATATGATTTTGGCAGGAGATGAATTCGTTCTGTGGTAAGGAAAGAGCCGAACGATTTGGGGGCCAACTGGTAAAGGTCTGGGCACACTCTTTTTAGGTGACGGGGCGAACTCGCAAAGGTGGAAGGAGTGAACTTGTAATGGGGCGAAACCACCATGAACCCAGTAGAGGCTAGAAGAAATTATAGCAAGAGTGATCGGTTGATCCGGAGATGTTACTCCTCCTGTGGTAGCGGCAATATCCATATATGAAGCAAGCAAGGAAATTAAGATATTTCTGAAACATTTCTGCACAACACAGGATTCGTTTCGTCTTGTTCGTTCGTGAAACCAGCTAGTTGATGAGCATTTTAAAAACACTTTTCGGCATCTAACGGTTGGCTTCTTTTCAGAGTCCAAGCCGCCAAAAGAGATAGAAATATTCATTTATCAATTGTATTTTTTTCTTCTCTTTCAGGTCTTGGAAAACAGTATTTCTTATTGGTCAGAGCTCTGACCCCAGATTGAACGACCTCGTTCTCCAAGAAGCTAACATCTACAAAGATATTATGATTGGGTCTTTTAAAGATACATATCGTAATCTTAACATGAAGATGATCTTTAGCTTGAAGTGGCCGCTGGAGCAAAAGTGTCGCGTCTCCTATATTCTTAAGACAGACGAGGATTGTTACGTGAACATTTGGAATCTTCTTCATTGGCTAAGGAGCTATCATGAAGCCAAAGGGTCGCGCCCCCTTTACGCCGGCCGAGTTCAAACAGAGATGCCAGTTGTACGGGATACCAAAAGTCGCTACTACGTCTCGGAGGAAGATCACCCTGCGGATATTTATAAACCGTATGCTTCCGGAGGAGGATATGTGATAAGTGCAAGTTTACTTCCGGCACTTGTCAATGTTTCACGAACATCACCGATCTTTGCGAATGAAGATGCGCTACTCGGTTCGCTGATGTACCGGATCGGAATACAATGGACCGACAACCAGAAATTTTTACCACTCATATTTTGTTCTCATTTGAACAAGTACCGTTTTCGAGACATGCACATGTCCGGTTTATCGAGACAGATCATTTTGCATGGCATAAGAGGCAGGCTGCAACTAGAAATGCACTTTAATAGCGCCTTGTATAATCACTTTCCATCGTTGTGTTCCTCGCATATGAACTACGAAGACATGCGGGACGTGTGCGAATGATGAAGTGAAAATTTTGAGCTACGTTATTGTGTCAGTGCTAGTGAGGACTTACTTGTCACCAGCTTTAACCCGTTTCACGCTGACTTTAATATGCTTATTCTCCGTACTGCTCTCTGTACATCTCTAATGGCACTGACAAAGAGATTTTTAAAAACAATCAAGAGCCTCTTTGATTGGTGATCATTTCCTTTATTCTCATGACCTTGATGTTTTATTTAGGGGCGATACTAGGGGAGAATTTAAATACTGGTCAATCTGAGGAGTTAAAGGACTCAACGACGCGGAGGATAGCGTAGATCGCAAAAAGAAACAGGATGTTTGGGTCTGGTCAAGACTTGTCTCCGGCTCTCTTTCTCCTTTGCCGAGTGTTTGAGAACATCGTACCTTGTCAACGAAGCTTCCTTTAACTAGCTGAACACCTGCTACCATCTGTCTTGTTATCAAAAGTGTCGTTACGACTGAAGAGAAAAAGAAAAATGTTTCATTATTTTCTCTAAGTGAATCTTATTACATCGGTCATCTTGCTTAAACGGAATTAACGCTGATGTAGCGTGGTGGCCGTTATAAAAGAGGCAAGGGTGTAACATATTGAAGTGCATGCCCATCGAAAAACTTATCGATGAATCGCCTTGTAAATCAAATTATTTTTGTCAGCCTACACGCGCTATCACTCACACTATTTTAGAGAATAGTCCATAATCAAGAGAGCATGAACTTCACAAAATCTCTTTTTTCAAGTATAACCTGAACTACTGTTGAAATACGGAAGGGTGAACGTTCGTATTTTGGGGGGGAAGGGGGGGTTGGTCTAGCCTGTTCGAGACGTTCAATGAGTAAAACGAAGCGCGATAGTTAACGGAGTAGAAAACGTAGCGTAAGCAATAGAGGAGTACAAAACCGAGGGAAGTCTGGATCTGAACGCGTGGAGAACGCCGTTCTCTACTGGACTAGGCCCAAACCACCCTCGTCTTTTGCTCGGCCGCTATTATCACGCCGTTTTCTATTTCGAAAGGATTTCGCACCGTTTTACTTGCTGAACGCCTGGAAAAGGTTTTGTCTTTTCTTTCTTTTTATCATAGTTGAGGTTATTGTTGCTTTGATCTTGAGTTCAGCCAAGACTATTTGAGAACATTTATGAATAAATTTCTTTCTAAAGGATCGGGTCAGAGATTTTCTTATAGTGGTTGGTAATTTTGCACCCTTTCTGATGCTTCAATGGATCTTAATTATGAATGTGGAGAGGACGAATGCGATACCATCAGATGGCCAGCTGAAACAATTGCGAGTGATTGTAAATTATTACGCTATTCTTTAAGGTAATTTGACACTTAGGTTATAAAAGAAGTGTCAATCAAGGCGAACATGATTAGAAAGTTATGTGAAAACTTGATTAAGGTCAGTTTTTGAGTCGTGCTCTCGAAATATCGTTTATTTTTTCTTCTATCATTCAGCAGGCATGTCGGAAGATAATGTAATAACATGCTGTGAAAGATTCTAGTTCCTTGCATGGGTTGAGCGTGAAGAAAAGATTTAAGTTTTCAATATGAAAAGGCATAATTAAAGCCCTGAGTTGGTAGCTTGCGAACAGTTTAATTTTGGAGCTGAGGTTACTTGCGGGTGATCTGACGAGAATGGATAAATCCCTAAAGAGACCTGGCCAGGAAATCTTTCAGAGTGTTTGGTTAGATTGATGTATTATATGAGGCATCAAGTTTTTTGTCACTTGTTCCGGGGGCCGCGAAAAAAATGACCCAAAAACCAACTCTTGTTAAATTTGGCAAAGAAAATAGTGAAAATAAGCTCTACATTGAGCAATATTAAAGCGTTCTTTACCGACTCCCAGCCCGGATATGATAGACAAATTTTGCCGGATAAATTTAGGTAATAATTTCCTCGTGACTTAAAAAAATGGTTCTAGGAAAAAAAGGGTATCTGACTTATTAAGTCTAAGTTAAAAAATATTTTAGATAGCGGGTTTTCTCTCAGTAGTCCATGAGCTTGTTTAGAGTAGGAAACTGAATGGTTGCGATGTTTCATATTTTTAGATTGAGAATTATTTTAAAAATACAATAATGGACTTTGTCCATGTTTACACAATTATATTCTTTTTAAACACTGAAGGGTTGGAAGGATTCTCGAGTTCTCTAATCCTCCTTGTGCTTATATGAAGCTGTGTAACTGAACAATTAAAAAAATCCTCTTTTGGTAAGAAATAATTTAAAAGGCTATTCCTTTGATCAATTCTTCGTCTCTTTCAAGAGTCAATATGTAGAGAGCCACGGCAAAACCTGTTCTTCAAGAAGTAAACAGTCAGGATCGACTAAGGGACGGGGGGGTAAAGAGGATTTTGGAAGATCACACGGTTTTCAGAAAGAAAGGAGGCTGGATCAGTCGTCGATCATAAAAAATGATTGCCAATTAACTGTCTAAAATCCTCTAATTCTTCCCCCCTCTATCCACCCTTTATCCCGGGCGATAAACAAGAAATGGTCCCTAATTTGCAGTCATTGTGGTCTATTGGTTTTTACAGCTGTATCTGTATAAACAATCTCTCGTCAAGAAAATTAAAAATGTCATTTCATTAAGAATCCCCATGAGGGTTGATTATTGACACTTAAGATCTTGACCTGTCTTCGGACTTATGTTTCTATCTTCTAGAAATGTTTCTTAATTGATAATGTATCTTAATTTGCACTAGAGGCTGATTTGATTAAAGAAAAAAAAATGATTCAGAAGTTTAATTTCAGTCACAGGAGATCTTAGCCCGATTTCAAAAGTACATTTTTGCCAAGTCCCTATTCCTTATTCAGTTGTAACTGTTAAACAATACTAAAACAATCGAATCACTGATTTCGCCGAAGGCCAATTACCTTGTGAATTCATTCACTTGAATGAAAAAGAATAATGTTGCAAAATAGAAGTTAATCACAGACAATTACATGGATGTTATTTCAGTGTTTTATCCGGCAGAATCGTATGGGAACTGAGATGTACTGAGCATGATAATTAGCTCTACGATCAAAGATTCTGGAACAAATAAGTCACGGTTGACTGACCGGTGTAATATGTTTGTTTAGTGACAAGTGACAACACCTCGCTTTCTTAACACGGCATGGAAAAAAATATTTCCTTTGTTTCTGAGGCTGAGATTCTTCAGCTGCTGAAAAGTGCCAGAGAAGTAAAATAAGTCGCACCTTCGAGACTTTTAGTGTGTCAGATTCCTTTGTTATGTTTTCCCTTTTATAAACCATTCATTAGCTGGGAAATTACATCAGGGCGGCCAATCGTTGATTACTGATTCAGAGAGGAAGACGAACCTTCACGTACGGTAAGTTCAAAATATGCCACGGATATGACCTTTTAAATGAAAAATACTCACATGCACGGTACTCGAAAATTTATTGATAAGAATAGTAAATAAGATATGTTGAAAACTTCGATCCATCTACTCAAAATAGACAAGGACATCCAAAATCAAAATTAGTGAGCTCATTTTATCGACAGACATATTCTCAGTTGCACTCCAGAGGAAGAGTCAAAT